TTGAGCTCAGTGGCAGAGCACCTGTCTAGCAAGCATGAAGCCGTGAGTTTAATCCTCAAAAAAAAAAAAAAAAAAAAAGCTAAAAAAATAAAGGCAGAACATTAAGAGCTAGAAAAGACAAGATTTTTAAAATAACAATAGAAGGCATAGGGAAAGACAGTGTATATAGACTACAACAAACACACAGTGAGTAGAAGTCCAAATAGATGAATAAAGTCAAAATTAGATTAAATTCTCAGCTGGGTGTGGTGGTGCATGCCTGCAATCCCAGCACTTGGGAGGCTGAGGCAGGAGGATTGCTGGGAGTTCAAGGCCAGCCTAGGCTACAAAGTGAGCTCAAGGCCAGCCTGAACTTCATAGTGAGACCCTGTCCCAAAAAGACAAAAAGAAAAAAAAAAGGTTAAATTCTCTAGAAACACAAAGAATCTCCAATTAGTTACAATGTACCTATTTACCTATTTGCCCTAAAATAAGAGGAATGCTGAATATAGTGAAGAGATACGAGCTAAACACTAATTAAAATAAAATTGTGGCCATAGACCTTTTCCTTAAAGGGTTTGTGTGTGTGTGTGTGTGTGTGTGTGTGTGTGTGTGTGTGTGTGTGTTACTGGAGATTAAACCTAGGGCCTTCATACCACACTACATCCCAAGGTCTTTTTTATTTTGAGACCAGGTCTCACTAAGGCACTTAGTTAATTGCATAGCTAGACTGGAATTTGTAGCCTTGCTCCCTCAGTCTCCTGAGTGCTGGGATTACAGGCACCACCACACCCAACTTATGTGTGTTCCTCTCTGTTCCCTCAGCACCTGAGTGACAGGCTTCTGTGCACTGCCCTCAGGAAGCCCAGGGCACAGGTGATGGCGACCTTGTTCACATCTGCCTCATTCCAGGTGAGTGTTCTCTTTGGAGTATGAAGTGTGTCTCAACCATGGCTGTCCTTGGCAAATACTGTCAAATATCTGATCTGGGGTGCTGACGTCAGAGGAAGGGTGGCTTTGGGATTCTCCTGCGGTTGCCCTCAGCATGCTTCTGTTCCCCTTGCTCCCTGGTGCCTACGCAGTGCCACTCCGGGGGCTGCAGCCCAGTCCTGTTATTCCAGGCCCAGGTGACCTTCGAGGATGTGGCTGTGCTGCTTTCCCAGGACGAGTGGGGATGTCTGGCCCCTGCCCAGAGGGGCCTCTACAGGGATGTGATGCTGGAGACCTACAGGAACTTGGTCTTTCTCGGTAAGGCTCCTGAGCAGCCGTTAGTGGGGAATGTGCGGCTCCGTAGCAGTTGGACTGGAGCCTCACTCTTTGGGCCCACAGATGGCAATGCTACACTGGCAGACCCAGTCTTAGAAGAGGGTGGGTGGTGCAGGGACCCTCCTAAGTAAGCCCACCCTTTCTCTGACCTCTTGCCTTGGGCTGAGACAGACCCTTGTGTGAGGAGCTTGACTTCCGGTGATAGTATTCCTGAGCTCTGCTCCTGCTGTCAGATGTCCATCTGCATGGCAACCTCCAGCCGACTTCCAGCCCCTCTAGAGAGTATCAGGGCTTTCATATCCTCTGCCTGTGCTTCCTGCCCTTCCTTCCTCAGAGCAAGGTGGCACACAACACAGCTCTCTATCCTTGGTACCAACCCCAGGCTCTGTCTCCTTCCCAGGAGCGGGATCTGCAGGTCCCAAGCCTGGGGTGATCTTGCAGCTGGAGCAAGGGGATGAGCCGTGGGTCCTGAACACGAAGGAAGCCGAGGGGAGAAGGCATCTGAGAGTCAGCAGCTCAGGTGCGTGAGGGAAGCTGCACCCCCAATTCAGTCACTAAATGAACACTTGTTGAGGGTCATGCTGTCCGGTTAATGGTGCAGGAATTTGAGGGAATTTGCATCAGGATTAGACGGGCCAGCCTGGAGTGTGGCCTCTGCTGGTGTCGTGGTCACCTTGGTCAGCTGCAGTGCCTTGGCAGGAGATTCTTAAGCAATAGGTTGTAGTAATGCTGTGGAGGCCGTGTTGCCGAGGACAGGGAAAGGGCATCCCAGGTAGTGCTAGTGTGGTGTGGTGCATGGGTGCAGGCCAGAGTTCTGTGAGGGGAGGCTTAGGTCTGGGAAACCTCACAGAATCCTGTCCTCGGGGCTGTCCTACCAGGAGAGTCTGGCAGTGGTGTATGATGGAGACCATCGCTTCATTCCCTTCTTTTTTTCCACCTTCATCTTAGTGAGCTCATTTGACAACTGTAGGCCATTATAGGAAAATTTGGGAAGACAGATCACTGTGAATCGCACTGTGCAGACACATTTGTATTCTAGAATACTCCCTGATGGTGTGGTGGTGGATGCCTGGAATCCCAGCACTTGGGAGGCTGAGTCAGGAGGATCACTGTGAATTCAAGGCTAGTCTGGGGTACATAGTGAGTTCAAGGCCAGCCTAGACTACATAGAGAGACTCTCTCTCTCAAAAAAAAAAAAAGATTTACTGTTGTTCCCTTTTAGTGATGACTTTTCCACACCTGTGTATGAGAACCATTTTGTGTGCGTGTGCATATGTGTGTATGCTAGGCAGTACTCTACCACTGAGTTATACCCCAGCACCAAGGACTGCTTCTTTTTTTTTTTTTTTTTTTTT